GTGAATTTTATTGTAATATTATTTATTTCGTTCTTATCTTTTTTTGTAAATAATGCAGTTTCCATGTAAAGTTAATATTTAAAGTATTCAAGATACTGAAAGCACAAATGTATAATAATAATGATACTTTAATAAAAATTGATTTGTCTAGAAATATATACATTATCTAGTTATTTACGTAGGTGCATCTATCCTACGCTTAATGCAACCTTTGAGGTGTACTGGTTTGTATTCGGGCTGCAGCTACCGAAGAAGATAATCATGAATGGCTTGCACGAGTCGAGAATTGTGCAACGGTTGCTTATTCTAAGTCAACGCGATCGGCAGTTATTAATCACTCGAGGCCGGGACGCGAGATAGACGTCTCCGAAAGCACCGTACCGCCCATAAATGTCAACGATTTATTTTTACAACGCCCGCCCTGTCGTATTACGATCTTGAATGTAATCGCGCCCGTGTTCTCCGTTTACCGTTTGTTTGGGTCTGTTGTTTCTCTTCCTACCTAACGAGATAACTAATTTCCAATAAGCGCAAAACGACGCGTCGAGGATGCAGCAGTACCGATTCATCATCAATTTTACGTTCTCCACCGGACACGTTCATCCTTTCTCCACTTCGAGTGACGTTAACAAGTGTTTCCGCGATAAACAGACCTGACCGTAAATTCTTTGATTCTTATTTTTTTCGTGTACTAAAAAGTTCTTTATGAATTCTCTTACACAATGTAAATTTAAATTTTAACATAAATCTGTCTAATGTCTTCGATATTAAATATTTTATTATTAACTGGACTCGTTTTCCTGTTTACATTTTCAAGAAAAAAATCAATTAATAAATCAGTTAAATTTTTATTGAATTGAATATAATAATTTTTATATTAAAAAATAAAATAGAAGAATTAAGATACATCTTAATATATGTCTTATATATATATATTTTATTTTACAAAAACATTTAAAACAAATTAAATGTGTATGTGATTATAGTTCGTACTACGTTTATTTATAATAAACAAAGATTAGTTATTTGTCTCAAATAATTTTAAATATTGGGTCATCATTATAGAAATTAGAATTATTTCTTTTTCTATAGTAAAATGAATATAAAATATATATCCTTTAAGTAAAAATTATAACAGTAGCCGATATAAATATAGACAGTAGCGATATTATTCACGAATTCACGACGATATTTTTTCCAATTATTGCAATCGCAGTTGGCGCACGATTTCCGTGCTTTGACTCGTCCTTAGGCGAGATATAACTGTGAATCCATCTCCATGCCATAAATGCACTACACGACGCGGCGGGCCCGCCTTTCTCTTTGCAGCAGAGAGATGCTGGAAGGCAGCCCCGCCCTCCGCCCCCCATAACCTCAGGCAATTAATTCGCTATTACCGCATTGCTGGGCCGTAAGTCACGGAGGGTAATTACGGAGCGGTAATTTCACCGCTGCTGGGTTACGCTGCCGGAGTAACCGAATGGATACGTCGTGCGGTCATTGGTACCTAACAGTTTCAGCATGATTCGGCAATCCGATTACACCGATTTCGTATTCACGGTTCAGCTCTGTTGTTTCCTTCCATTGACCATGTTCGCGAATAATAAAATTATTTATACAACGCCGGAAGGTCTCATAAAGGCAAAAGCATGATGAAACTACCATAAAAATTTGTTATATTCTAGCCATCAATTTGAGCCACAATTTGCATTCTACATTTTATTTCGATAGCCCACAAAGTCAAATTTCCAGATTTGTAGCTGTCCGAAGTTTTTTTTAGATATTTCAACAAAGTTGTTCTTTCCGTGTATGCTTATATAATTATGATACGATTATTGACGCAAGATGAATTATCCAATATCATGTTCAATTATAATTTCAATATTTGTGTTTATCTCGACATTTATTTCATTGTACGAAAAAAGGACTCACCTCCAAGCATGCGATGAAAATCCGGAACATGTTTCTCCACATTGCAAACAAGGCTGCCCTTCTTCGACATCCGTGATGAGAACACCCTGAAAAGCAAATAAGTTTTATTAAAAAATTAATATAGATAAAATAATATTTCTTAAGATAATAATACAAATAATCTTAAAAATATAAATCAACGATAAATATCTGTCACAGTTAAGATTCAAATTTTAATAGTAATTGAATATCTATTTAAAGAACATATCGCCCAAATTTAGATAAATGCAAACATTCTCGATCGATATGACTGATGAAATCGCGTTAATTGCAAAGTGGTGAAAGGTTTGGGTCATCGTAAATGTCAGCCATTGTGCGCAAACATTGTTTGAAAATCCACGATTTCATGACAATTCGATAAGCGGGTAATGCCTAAGCACAATATATTATTAATACTTTTTAGTTAAATCATCACATGACAAGAATAAAAATTGATTTCTCAGCATTGTTATTAAGAAAAAATGTATATAACATTAAATAAAAAAGCAACATTATAGAAATTAATATATTTTACATACATAACATATAAGACAAAGACTTGTAAAAGAAAAATCGCATTTGTAAGCTAAATAAAATTTTTCTTTGAATATCAATAGCTAAGGTAAATTCCACGTTAACGTCTAATTATAAAGAAAAATATTGATTCTAGAAACATATTAAGTGTCAAAAGCGAAGTGTTAGCACTTTAGTATTCTAACTTGCAGATTTTTTCCTCGTAATAAAGAAGAACAAAAGACGCGGGAAAGCACGTCGTTTTATTACACGTGATTCTCGCTGCATATATACATGCGAATGAGGACAAGGTCCCGATAAAATGATGAGCCACGTGTAATTGGGAAAAGTTTTTAATTGCGTGAGCCTTGTTATGTCACGATGCAAGGCAATGTTTATCTCCTTCGTAAGCGGACGATGAACGCTCGTCTAATGAACGTTCGTCGCTAATAATAATCGATGTGTCAAGTCTAAACCTGACACGAAACAATTGCTGTGACTGGCTAACTATGCATTCTAATATAAATTATATACAACAATTCCTTTCCTTTCATTTTATATATGCAATCCTACTTTTTCAATAATTAATTCGTCAATAGGTAACAATTTATAAAAATAGATACGTGACTCGTTATCTTTATTATATTTTAAATTTATTTAAAGACATTTTATTACACATTTTATTAATGTCCTTTTGACAAGTAAATATGCAATTGTTTGTTACCTTGTTTTCAATTTTCAATGTGTTTTTACGACACTCTGTTTTTAAGCAAAAGAAAAAAATTTTTAAATATCATTATAAAAGGTTTTATAAAGATATACTATACCGGATAAGCGATATCCGGAAGGAAATTTGATGTCGAATATAAAATGTTGCTCAAATTATAAGTTGAGGAAGGAAGCTCTTAGTACATTTATTAACAGTTTCCACATTAGATAAATCGACGAGCAGACAGGATGTAATAGGTGTATTATATTATCATCGAGCCCATTTACCGGCCCGCTTCTGGTGCAACTATCACCTCGTATTACCGTCTTGGTTCAGGAAACATTAATAACAAGTCGATTTCCTTGCACGCCCTGGAAGCCAAGATTGCTCGAGTCTGAGCAACGTAAATAATGGATGCTTCACTGCGCATTAGTCATCGGCTGCCATCGCATTTTTAAAAAGTATTTTTGACAGCGCGTTTATTCCTTCCGCTCATATATGTCAGTGATTACCGAAAATCAAGTCGAGACAGACGGAACGCCATGTGAAGAAGGTCATGTTCCTCCGACAAGACACAATATAAAAAAAAATGCTAATATTCTGAATATTAATTTATGTATATGTTATTCATATGAAATAGAATTGACGAGAATAAGTGGAAGATTATGCGATATTATGTTGTGACGTAATTAAATTTATATTCTTATTTAAATCCGTAAAAAAAAAAGACAAAAATAAACAGATTATCATACATAATCATGTAAGTTCCTAAAGAAACTTGTTGTACTTGTCATCATACATACATAGGATTATCTATTTGTATAAAAAAATTTTAATTAATTAGGCGCTTAAACCAAAAATTGTTTGATTTAAACAAATCAAAAGCAGCAATTTCTATTACTTAAATATCGCGAGTGGTTAAAGAATCTATTGTCGATTTCCGAGAGATCGTTGATAATTGCCACTAAAGGAACCGCTAAGTATCTGAACATTGTTTGCGTCAGTCGGGTCCCTGAGAGGATCCCAAGTCTTGGTCTACAGTCACCGGTTTGTCTACAAACGAAGAGGAGAAGAGGAAACCGCCGCGCTCGGTGGAAGAAAGCACGCGTTGGATGCGTTCAAGAGCCTTTCGGTCGGCGTATATGGTCTGTCCGCCCACACGCTGGGTCCGCTCGCTGCCGGCCTCATCGCCAAATATCGAGTAGACACGCGTTGGAAAATGTGTGCCGGCCGTCGCCGATCTGTCTCTAGCTGTCTATATATAGCGATACTGAATAACGATGCCCGCAGCACCAAGCGCTGCCGTCTAATTAACATATTTTTCACCCTGACTCACTCACCGCACGGTGAAGGGCCTGCTCTTTTCCTCGCGACGTCAAGGCGGATCGTACAAAAATACAAAGCGGACGAGAGAAACGAAAAACGCTTAATTTACGCTTCGAGTCCGTAGGAATATTTCGATATTTCTGACCTTTTCGTACGTATGCATATGCGTTTGCTCATAGAAAACGTGTTGACGTATATAATCTGTGATCTTAAAAAATATGAGCGCATCGCTCATGGAAGAGGAATCGTTGAAGGTTTAATTAGGAATTATTTTTAATTAATTGCATTTAATGCGATTCTACTTTGAAAGTACAATTTTGTTGCGTCAATGATTCTGATTAATTATCCCTCTTAAGCATTAAAGGACCTTTCATCCATCTGTAGTTTATGCGCAAAAGTAGCTCTTGAAATGATTAAACGATGCTTTTGATTGCAGTCGCGTTGCTCAAGAAGACAGATTACTTAGAATTAACATACCGCGAACGTTGTGAAAAATTATTCCAATCATTTGCGGTCGGAAATAAACGGCGCTGCCGTAACGCAGAATTGTAGCGAAAATGCAGTTTGGCGAATCTGGTTTGATTCGACGACTGCGTACTTTCGCTCAATTGCTATTTTAACGGATCATAGCCACCATTAAATCGGAACGTTTGCAGCACATTTAGAATTTAGATTTTCGACCGCTAGATTGTGGTAATCATAATTCGATAAAATCGATATAAGCAACAATTTTTTTATTCTACATATTATGTATCCTGGAAAGCATATGTTTTATTTCGAATAACAAAATTTAATAATATATGGTTCAAGAAAATCTTAAATTTAAAGAAATATACATACTATAATAATGGAATGTAATTTCATCAAAAATTAAAACTTAAATTTTATTAAACTCTATCTGTATTTGATTATTCCTTGTGTAATATAAGATATTTAATATGCGCATGAAATATGGATAAAAGTGGAAAGCTGTTGCGTTTCCGTTCGGCGAGTAATTAATTTCTGCATTAAATTTATATTTAGGAGATTGATTAGAATATAACGGGTCAACCTCATACCTACCCTCTTAACGAACCGATCACTCGATTGTCCCGCGGACAAAAGCCGCGTTTTTAACGCGGCGATCCGTTTAAGGAGAGATGTTATCCATAACGACGTGTCCTACGCGCGATACTGGCCATTCAGCTCGTGGGCGGTTCGCTGACATTTGCATGACGCGTTAGCCAATATAGACAAGGCGATTGCGAAAGTCCTCGCGTTGAAAACCTGTGCGCACGGCAAACCCGACGACAAATTGATAAGTAATTCTCACCGTTAGAAAATCGTTTGGTTTACCTCATGATGCAAAATGCGAAATCAAATTACATAATCGAGTCGTTCACTTCAAAAAACTTCAACTTGAGTCACTTTTCTCAGTTACAGCTGCACGAAATTCGAAGTAGAAACTATTTCTTCCGGCGTTATTTATTAAACATTTAACTATTCTTTGTACGGGAAAAATGCAAAAATAAAAATATTTCCCCTTAAAAAAAAACTCGAAATAGATTTTGAATGAATAATACACTCTTACTTTTTTATTAATTTTACATCTGCATGCAAATTATATGATAGCAAAAAATCTTTTCTGACTTTTTTAAATTTATTAAACGTTTTTTATTTACATTTTTTTCCTAATAATAAATTAATTAATTATTTGATTTTATACTTATCGAAGTTATAGAAAATGACTCAAAGGCACTCTAATAACATGATGCGGTGAAATTGATTTTACGAAAATTTTTAATGAGTAAGGTTGCAGCGAGACATTGCATCATTACCATTTAAAGGATTAGCAATGGTAGCGGTCGAGCTACCGGTATTTAGCTTTCACTTAATCGGATTGAACCGCGGCGAAGTGTAATTTGTGCACCCTGTGGACGTAAACAGGCGTGGATGATAAATGGAGATTATAAATTGCTTGTTCTGGATAGATTTGAAACGCTTACGAAGTTTGTTAAGAAACTAACGTGCCACTCGAACATTAATAAAATTGCGTTGATCCTATATTATTTAATTGTAAAAAATACTTGCTTGCAAGTTGCATAAATACATGTTTACGATCAAAAAGAAAAAAATAAGAATAAGAGCGATTAAAATGCAAGAATAAGTAAAAAAGCGAATTAAATGTAATTTGCAAGAGCAGAGGAGTATTAAAACATATAAAAAGTATAAATAAACTTAATGTAATATATTGTGTATTTGTATTTAGAGAAGGAAGATGATTTTAATGAAAGATGGTTCAGTGAAATGTAACGTGTGTCGAGGGTTGGAGAATAAAATTGATGAGACCGATTATTCAGGATAATTTTAATAAAATCCCGCTACACACACACAATTTGCTGTTGCGTTCATATTTACGCAAGTTACGAAATTTATCATCTCTCCGATATAACCACTTAATTTTAAGATATCGCGCTCTCTCGATCGTAAAACGGCCATCGCGAAATTCCAGGCAAATTGCAATTTTAGTGCACGAGGCCGTGCGATATTACGCAAGGTTTCCATGGTGATTCAGTCGCTCGTACTCGACGTGCAAGAGATAACAATGCCGCTTCTCGTTCGCCAACGATCGCGGAAAATCGCCGATAAACAAGCGCACGAAGTACGCACCGACCGCGACAAGTCGAACCAGTCTAATATACATCTCCTTATTTAATATTATATAAATTATTCAAACTTTTCGAATTTCCTTCCCGAGAAGACTTCGCTTCGAAATGCACCAATAAACGACCATTGAATTTATGCTTATTTTTATGATAATCATATACAAGATATTATGTTTTTTAAAAAAGAGAGTATAATATATTGTAATTCCCAATAATTATAGTTATAAATGTAGGCTAAATCCTTCTCTCTATGTTACTTTAGTTAATAATACTTGTACACTTACTTTCATAATATCCAAGCATTAAATGATAATTGAGATAATAATCCATAATTATGCTTATTAGTTATTAAATTAATAATAATATACATAATATATAGTATTAAATAATTTCTATAATTTATTTATTTAGGATAATGTTTAATTGCATATTTTTATATTTTTGTATCATATAAGTGAATATTAAATACGCCAATAACATTTTATTTTGAAGAATCATTAGCTAATTCCTTTTAATATTTAATCGAAAATTTTCCAGTGGCTTTTTGCTGTAAATTATAGGAATATATTTCATTATTAATTTCAAATAATATGTATATCATACACGAAGCTAATGACATTAGAAGGATTAAATTTTATATTCAATGGCTAAGTCATAATATATGCCGACTATAAATAATAATCCTGTTTAGCGAAAGGATTGAATTATTCCTTAAACGACCGTTCACTGGTGCATTGCGATACGTAAAACGAGGACGGAATTATGACTCTCGCGTTTTCGACCACACGCGACAGCACAATTTCACGAATTCGCATTTCACGAATTTGGAATCCGAATTTGGAACAAATTTGTTTAAGTCGAATTCCAGGGACGGCGGAAAATTGACACAATCGCCTTGACGATAAAGCCGATCGTTCCTGCGAATGGCGGCGGGAGGGTCGAAAGAATGGAAAAGCTGGGCTTTCTCTCCCTCGGGACTTATCCTCGATAAACGCCTCGAATCAACGCCATTCCCCAACCAAGATTATCGTCTTTTTCATCTCCTCCAGCGATTTATGAAAATCGCCTCGCGTCTCTGAACCATAAAGGAACGATCGAAAGCAATTGACTCATGAAAGTGCCATACCCCTTCGCGGTAGTTCCAGACCGTTCTCGAGGGCGTCGCGTCGCCGCCGGCGTCGCCGCCGCCGCCGCCGCCTCTTCCTGGCAGGATTCCGCCGTCCCTTCGAGTCCTTCGCCAGCGATCCTCCTCTTCGTCCTCGTCGCTGTCTTCATCATCGTCCTCGTATTTCTTGCGTCTAACCGCGCATATTTCCTGCGCGGGACGGCGCCGACGGCGCCTCTCCGTCACGCCGCCAGAATCCTCCGACGATCGTATTCTGATGATCGTGGCGCCGTTGCGATCGCGAGTCGAGGAAAATCGCGACGAATCCTTGTCACCGGAGTCGATCCTGCCGCGCGTCTCGAATCGATTTTCCTCAAGATCGTTCGCGGATGTCTCCGTGACCGTATCGCCTCGCATATCTTGCAGGACCAGGAATCCGCGCTCGGGCGAAACGTCAGCGTCGAGACGTCCTTCTTGAGTACTCCGCAGCTTACTGTGATCCCGCAGATATTTGGCGGAGAATATTCGATTGCTTTCGTACCAAGACTTGGCACAAAAATTCTTCGAGTCCTTGGCATTATTCTCTGCCTCATCTTTCTTCGGTGGCGTCAACGCTTTCGAATGTCTGTCTGATTTCTTCTCGAATACTTCGCGATCTCTACTTCGCAAGGACGCACGTCTCCTCGGAAAACTGTCGTGCTCCTTGAAGGAACTCGTTCTGACTATCGTCTCGTTATCCTCTTCCTTGAAAGGACTCGAAACGCGTAGCTCATCGTCTTGCGTCTTAAAGGATACTTTACCAAACTCGATATATCGATCGTTCGCAGTTTTCCTATCGATGTTATTCTCATAATCGTGATACAATGTTCGCCCGAATTCTTTGTCATCATTTTTGAAGCTGTTTTTCCTCCTCTCTGAATTACTCTCACGATCTTTGTAGGAAATCCCGCCGAACTCGACATTCTTTTCTCTAAACGAATTCTTTTTCCCAGAATCCTCGTTTATATTCTTAAAGTTATTTCTGTTCGATTCGTCATCGAAATTTTTCAAGACAATCCTGCTGACGCCACCTGCGTGTTCCATGGAGACTTTTCTTTCCACGTCGTCGTGCTGATCTTTTAGGAAAGTTCTGTCGAACTCACTGTCTCGTACCTTGAAAAAACCCTTTCTATTTACATCCGTGTTTAAGTCTTTAAAGGAATCCTTACAAGGTAGATCTTCTTGATCCTTGCCAAAATATCTGATTGAAGTATCATATTGATTTTTCGAAATGTGCTTCTTGTACGCGTCGTTATCCCGATCTTTCAACGATGTCTTTCTGATCAGATTCGACTCACCGCGATCCTTGCTGGTCGCTCTCTTGGATTCAGCTTTGAAGGAATTTTTCTTGGTTATCGGTTCTCGATCGTACTCCCTCAGAGATTCCTTTCTGTCCAAACTGAGTTCTCTGGACAAATTCCGTCTAGGTGAACTTCTAGGCGAACTTCGTCTGGGCGAACTTCTATCTAGATCTCTTCTAGGTTCGACGAGAGCCCTGTCGTATCTCTGTATCCTTACGTCAAAATCTTCCGGCAAACCTTCATAAGTATAACTCCTCCTCTTCAAATTATCTCTCGATGACGATTGAGCTTCTTCGTCTTCTATCGATCTTCTGTAATTTTTCTCGGCGTTGTAGGCATCGCTCATTTTTCGGAAACTGTCGTCTCTTCGAGGCTCGCGAGCTTCGTTCTGCCTCTCGATGCTTTTCGATCTTCGATCAGCGGATCGTTCGCGTCGGTCAGCATCCTCTTCTCGATCGGGTTTTCCGCGCAACTTGGACTCGCGATCATCCTTCATTTTCCTACCTCGATCGTTAGACAGATTATCGAACAGATGATCGATGATCGGCGATCGTGGGTCATTCCTGCCGTCGCTTTTCGTCGTGACGTGCGCTTCCTTTTCAGGACTCGCCGATCTCTGTTCTCTTCTGAATCGTAACTTGCTCTCTTCTCGCGATTTTAATCGCTCGATCATCGCCTGGATTCTACGATCTGGCGATTGACTGCCATCGATAGCTAAATTTTCGATCTCTTTAAGCAGTATATCCCTTTCATCGACGGATTGCGTAGAGTCGTTGTTACTATTATTGCTCTTGTTAATCTTAGATGTCCTCCCTCGAGTCCTCGACTCCGTTTCATCCTCCCACGACTCTTTTATCTTCGATTTATGAGAACCATTGAGCTCTCGTTCGACAGACTCGCCTCTTTGTCGGCCTTCCCTCGGCAAGGATCCGACGTATCCTTCGTCTCGGTATTCCGGCGATTTATTCAGCTTCGCACTCACCGGTTCACTTTTAAATTTTCCATTCGTCAATTGCGTGTCCTCAAGATCCTGCCTTCTTGATTTTCTCGCATCATCCTGAACGACGTCCTTGACGACGTCCCAAGAACCGAAGTGTTCTCTGCTCTTCTTGTACAACAGATCGACACTGTTTTCTTTCGATTCTGCGAGGTTCTTATTATACTCCTGTCCGTTCCGTTCTGCCTTGTTGTCGTGCTGCTTTGACATACCGAAATGATAACGATTGCTGCGCCCGCCGTTCTTGCACGACTGGCTGGAGAGCACTTCCGGCTCGCTTCGATGGAAATGATCCTTGGTGAACGAGGCGGCCCTCGGCGTGTCCTTCACCGCCGAAGGGCCGCGCAGGCGGGACGTCATCTTCGCGAGGAACGGAATTTTGAAGATGGGAATTGTTGTACTTCACTGATATTGCTTGTATATGTGTGTGTGTGTGTGTGTGTGTGTGTGTGTGTGTGTGTGTGTGTGTGTGTGTGTGTGTGTGTAGTAGTAGT